TCTCAAGGACTATTAAGGATAATAGGCGTGGATTTTTCTCAAGGACTATTAAGGATAATAGGCGTGGATTTTTTAAAGAATTTTTTCGCAAGGATTATTAAGGATAATAGGCGTGGATTTTTGTAAGAATTTTTCTCAATGATTATTAAAGATAATAGGCGTGGATTTTTCTCAAGGACTATTAAGGATAATAGGCGTGGATTTTTCTCAAGGACTATTAAGGATAATAGGCGTGGATTTTTTTAAGGATATTTCACAAGGACTATTAAGGATAATAGGCGTGGATTTTTGTAAGGATTTTTCTCAAGGATTATTAAGGATAATAGGCGTGAATTTTTCTCAAGGATTATTAAGGATAATAGGCGTGGATTTTTTAAAGAATTTTTATCGCAAGGATTATTAAGGATAATAGGCGTGGATTTTTGTAAGGATTTTTCTCAAGGATTATTAAGGATAATAGGGGTGGATTTTTTTAAGGATTTTTCTCAAGGACTATTAAGGATAATAGGGGTGGATTTTTTAAGGATTTTTCTCAAGGATTATTAAGGATAATAGGATTGGATTTTTTCTCAAGGATTATTAAGGATAATAGGCGTGTATTTTTAAGGATTTTTCTCAAGGATTATTAAGGATAATAGGCGTGGATTTTTCTCATGGATTATTAAGGATAATAGGCGTGGATTTTTTAAGGATTTTTCTCAAGGATTATTAAGGATAATAGGCGTGGATTTTTTAAGGATTTTTCTCAAGGATTATTAAGGACAATAGGCGTGGATTTTTTAAGGATTTTTCTCAAGGATTATTAAGGATAATAAGCGTGGATTTTTCTCAAGGACTATTAAGGATAATAGGCGTGGATTTTTCTCAAGGATTATGAAGGATAATAGGCGTGGATTTTTTAAGGATTTTTACAAGGATTATTAAGGATAATAGGATTTTTTTTCTCAAGGATTATTAAGGATAATAGGCGTGGATTTTTCTCAAGGATTATTAAGGATAATAGGCGTGGACTTTTCTCATAGATTATTAAGGATAATAGGCGTGGATTTTTTAAGAATTTTTCTCAAGGATTATTAAGGATAATAGGCGTGGATTTTTTAAGGATTTTTCTCAAGGATTATTAAGGATAATAGGCGTGGATAATGGGCGCGGATTTTTTTAAGAATTTTTCTCAAGGATTATTAAGGATAATAGGCGTGGATTTTTCTCAAGGATTATGAAGGATAATAGGCGTGGATTTTTTAAGGATTTTTACAAGGATTATTAAGGATAATAGGATTGGATTTTTTCTCAAGGATTATTAAGGATAATAGGCGTGGATTTTTCTCAAGGACTATTAAGGATAATAGGCGTGGATTTTTCTCAAGGATTATGAAGGATAATAGGCGTGGATTTTTTAAGGATTTTTACAAGGATTATTAAGGATAATAGGATTTTTTAAAGGATTTTTTCTCAAGGATTATTAAGGATAATAGGCGTGGATTTTTCTCAAGGATTATTAAGGATAATAGGCGTGGACTTTTCTCATAGATTATTAAGGATAATAGACGTGGATTTTTTAAGGATTTTTCTCAAGGATTTTTAAGGATAATAGGTGTGGATTTTTTAGGGATTTTTCTCAAGGATTATTAAGGATAATAGGCGTGGATTTTTCTCAAGGATTATTAAGGATAATAGGATTGGATTTTTTTCTCAAGGATTATTAAGGATAATAGGCGTGGATTTTTCTCAAGGATTATGAAGGATAATAGGCGTGGATTTTTTAAGGATTTTTACAAGGATTATTAAGGATAATAGGATTGGATTTTTTCTCAAGGATTATTAAGGATAATAGGCGTGGATTTTTCTCAAGGATTATTAAGGATAATAGGCGTGGACTTTTCTCATAGATTATTAAGGATAATAGACGTGGATTTTTTAAGGATTTTTCTCAATGATTTTTAAGGATAATAGGTGTGGATTTTTTAGGGATTTTTCTCAAGGATTATTAAGGATAATAGGCGTGGATTTTTGTAAGGATTTTTTTCAAGGATTATTAAGGATAATAGGCGTGGATTTTTTAAGGATTTTTCTCAAGGATTATTAAGGATAACAGGCGTGGATTTTTTAAGGATTTTTCTCAAGGATTATTAAGGATATTAGTCATGGGTTTTGTAAGGATTTTTCTCAAGGATTATTAAGGATATTAGGCATGGGTTTTGTAAGGATTTTTCTCAAGGATTATTAAGGATAATAGGGGTGGATTTTTTAAGGATTTTTCTCAAGGATTATTAAGGATAATAGGCGTGGATTTTTTAAAGAATTTTTTTCGCACGGACTATTAAGGATAATAGGCGTGGATTTTTTAAAGACTTTTTTTGCAAGGATCATCAAGGATAATAGGCGTGGATTTTTTAAAGAATTTTTTCGCAAGGATCATCAAGGATAATAGGCGTGAATTTTTTAAAGATTTTTTTCGCAAGAATCATAAAGGATAATAGGCGTGGCTTTTTTATAGAATTTTTTCGCAAGGATCATCAAGGATAATAGGCGTGGATTTTTTAAAGAATTTTTTCGCAAGGATCATAAAGGATAATAGTATTTTTTAAAGAATTTTTTTCGCAAGGATCATAGGCGTGTATTTTTTAAAGATTCTTTTCGCAAGGATCATCAAGGATAATAGGCGTGGATTTTTTAAAGAATTTTTTTTCGCAAGGATCATCGAGGATAATAGGCGTGGATTTTTTAAAGAATTTTTTTCGCAAGGATTATTAAGGAAAATAGGTGTATGGATATATACGAGAGATATTTCTGGTTTCATAAATATTATTTTTTCAAAGGCGTGGATTTTTTTAAGAATATTTTTTCAAAAGCCATTGTAGGCGTGGATCTCTTAATCAATACTTTTTCAGAGACGAAAACATTTTTTAACAACAGTAACCGTGTTAGGTCCATTGTAGTCGTAATTTTTTAAAGAATATTTTCTCCTGAAAACCTTTTTTGCTATAAAATTGCTATAAAATTAATTTAACCTGATATTTTAAGTTAAATGAACAAAAATGCAACCCTCGAATATTTTTTCTTGATCTTCATTGATACACATAAAAACTACATTACTTCTCCTATCCAATAGCGAAAGATTCATCCAAATATCTCCATTCGTTGCCGAGTTATGGCCATTTGAAGTGAACCTTGTGTCAAAATATAGCTGCTACGCGATTCTGTTTGCCTGGTATGGCAAATGGGAAAATCGGCAAATTTGCAACTCCACAAAACCAGAAAAATGTGGATGCGTTGCCAACATTTTTTCATTGTGTTTCCATGTTAGATGGCGAAAAAGGTGAGCATACTTTTAGGCGTTACACAAAGCAGCAATCGTTGTGGTTGGCAACACATCGGCATTTTTCTGGTTTTTTGGAATTGCAAAATAGTCGTTTTTCCCATTTGCCATACCAGGCAAACAGAATCGTGTAGCAGCTATATTTTGACACAAGGTTCACTTCAAATGGTTATAACTCGGAAATGAATGGAGATATTTGAATGAAATTTTCACTATTGGATAGGGGAAGTGATGTAGTTTTTATGTGTTCCAATAAATTGAGGAAAAGAAATATTTGAAATGTGGATATTTACATTTTAATAAAAAAACACCACTTGTGGATTTGTTGAGGATTTTTATTAAGCGGATTTTTATTCGAATTTTAATAGGGCAAGGATTTTTTAAAGAATATTTTTTGAACTGCTAATAGAGCGCATTATTTTTTAAAGAATATTTTTGTAAGGTACCAATAGATGGGATCTTTTTACATACTTTTTTCAGGTGCCTATAGAGGATGGATTTTTTAAAAAATATTTTTATGGACTATTATGAGGTCTCGATTTTGAAAGAATATTTTTCCAAAGCATACTATGAGGCAGGATTTTTAAAGAATATGTTTTTAAGGCATAATATGAGGCGTGTATTTTTAAAGAATATTTTTTAGAGGCCTAATATGAGGCGTGGATTTTTAAAGAATATTTTTAAAGGCCTAATATGAGGCGTGGATTTTAAAGAATATTTTTTAGAGGTCTAATATGAGGCGTGGAGTTTTAAAGAATATTTTTTAGAGGCCTAATTTGAGGCGTGGATTTTTAAAGAATAAAAATAATATGAGGCGTGGATTTTTAAAGAATATATTTAAAGGCCTAATATGAGGCGTGGATTTTTAAAGAATATTTTTTAGAGGCCTAATATGAGGCGTGGATTTTTAAAGAATATTTTTTAGAGGCCTAATATGAGGCGTGGATTTTTAAAGAATATTTTTTAGAGGCCTAATATGAGGCGTGGATTTTTAAAGAATATTTTTTAGAGGCCTAATATGAGGCGTGGATTTTTAAAGAATATTTTTTAGAGGCCTAATATGAGGCGTGGATTTTTAAAGAATATTTTTTAGAGGCCTAATATGAGGCGTGGATTTTTAAAGATTTTTTTTAATATCTTTAAAATTAATTTAATTATTTTTCTTATGTCAATTTGATATGTGGCCAGGCAGCTTCAATTGTTATTGCTTGTGTGTGAATATGGTTTTTGTTTACAATACCTTAAAGCGGCCGGGCGACACATCAACACTGCCACATCTAAATCTAATTAAAAGACCAGCTGTTTACATTCAATACAATCATTTTTTTATTATTATTTCTTTTATTTATTTAACAATTATCAGTGCATTTACAACAATCAGTGCTTACAATGATGACAACTAAATATATTTAAATAGCGAACGAAAAAAATTAAAACCAAAATAAAAACAAAAAATCAAAAAATGACTTAAAAGACAAAAAAAGTCTAATTTAAAATTAAAACTTTGGAAATACTTTGTTGTTGTTGTTTAATTAATTAATTATTTAAATAATTTATAATAATAAAACAAGATCTAAACTGCAAATAAAGCAATAATACCATTTTCATTTACTAATAAATATAACTCTCTGATCTCAGCTGTGTGTCCGAGTGTCATATCTTTGCTCTCTCGTCGATCCCCAAAATTAATGTTCACCAAATTCACGCAATTCACGATTGGCCAATGGTAGAGGAGGACGGAAATTATTAATGACCTTGCCGTTAAATTCATTGCAGGGGCAATCTTCCTTCACATCATAACAATTCAAATCACGCATAGCTTCCAGCTGATCGTGGGACACTTCAATGGGGGTCTTGAAGACAATCCAAATGACACATTCCGAACAGGGTGGAGTGGTTAGGGAACCTTCATAGGTCCAATAGGTGGTGGTGCTGGGCAATAACTTGGCTGGATCACAGCCATTGGGTAGGGTGACACGGTCACCCTTGTGTTTGATAAATTGCAAGAGGCTGGAAATTCTATCGAACTCGGGATGATGGAGACCAGGCTACAAGCAAACAAAATTTTTTATTAATTTCAATTTTAAAATTAAAAAAAGATTTCTTACCTGCAAGAAAACACCCAACACCGCCAAACCATCAGGCTGGGCAGCAGCTTCATTAAACGAACTATATTTCGTTGTATTCCAATGGACCAAATGCAATTCTCCAGCATAGGAAACTCCATCAACAGTGTGTTCTGAACCCTTGCTATCATTACAACCCCAATGACAATGGAATTGTTCCAATTTATAGATATTATCACCCAATGGACCACCGGTCAGTTCCGATTCTGTACCATTAACATCGACACGCCAGCAATAGCCAGGGTTAACCAAACTCTTGGTATGTTCGGGAACATATTTCCACTTGAGGGGAGCAACTTTCAAATCGCTACCCTTTTTACAGACGGCAGTATCAATGTCAACTGGGGACTGGCGAGTGCCCTTGGCCTGAGGGAATTCTTCGAACCACTTATCGGGACCTGAAATTGAAAAAAAGAGAATATTTCAGAGATTAGTAAAAAAGGGAATAATAGTACGTTTACATTAAACCGGATTTCGTTAACCCAGTGGGTTTCAATTGTCATTTCCTTTGCATATATGTCAAATAAATCCTCATAAAGTTCTAATGTGCAAGGAGTTTAAGAAAAGTTTTAAAAGAAAATTTATAGTATAAATTTACTTGAAGTCCTTAAATCACCAAAGACTCAAATACAGAACTGCATTTGCATTAGAACTTTTTAAGGCCTAATATTAGGTGTGGATTATCAAAGAATATTTTTTCAAGGCCTAATATGAGGAGTGGGTTTTAAAGAATATTTCTTTCAAGGGTTTTAAAGATTTTTTTAATGGATAGTGTGTACTACACTTAAGTGTAAGCATATACCTAGTTCACATAATATTTACTGCAATATTTTGATATATTACCTTGACATTTGACTAGTTATTATGAAGCATGACATGTGGCAAAAGGAAACAAATATTATACAAAACTGATAGTGTGTACTACACTTAAGTGTTCTTCTCAAAAATCCGCGAATTTGACAATGTCGATCGCGAGAATTTCTGGATTTGCTACACTTGCTAAGCCTGGTTCAAAAAGTTTTAATACAATATTTTGATATCTTGACATGTGACTAGTTATTATGACGCATGACATGTGGCAAAAAAAATATATTATTCAAAACTGATAGTGTGTACTCCACTTTAGTGTTATCATCCAAAAACCGCCTATCTGACTATGTCGATCAAGAAAAATTCTGGATTTGTTAAAAAATGTATTATTCAAAACTGATAGTGTGTACTACACTTAAGTATAAGCCTGGCTCACACAATATTTACTGCAATATTTTAATATATTATCTTGACATGTGACTAGTTATTATGACGCATGACATGTGGCAAAAGGGGAAAAAATATTATTCAGAACTGAGAATGTGTACTACACTTAAGTGTTCTTCTCCAAAAACCGCGTATTTGGCAATGACAATCACGAACATTTTTGGATTTGCTAAAAAATATTATTCAAAACTTATAGTTTGTACTACACTTAAGTTTAACCACAATAATATTTGCTGCAATAATTTGATATAATTTTGACATGTGACTACTTATTATGACGCATGTCATGTGGCAAAAGGAAAAACATATTATTCAAAACTAATAGTGTGTATTGCACTTAAGTGGTAGCATTAGCCTGGTTCACATAGCGTGATGATAATATTGATTGGAAGATGTTGGTGTATTTATTTCCCATGTGGCTAGTTATAGTGCCCCATGGCATGTGGCAAATACGCCAAAGAGTAACAATTTGACATGTGGCTGAATCTCTTTAAAAATTATTCACAATGGCATTCACGATGTTAAATGTGGCATATATTGGAAAATATTCAAAGAATATTGTGTCGTATGAACAAGATTAATTTATACATGATTTCGACTTCTATTTTATTCCAGATTCTATTGTTAATATTGTAATAAAAATCGGCTACAATTTGGCATGATAATAAAAAGTATTAAAATAATTAGTGTACTAATTTAATATGTGACCATGCACCTTAATTAAAATGTTTGATGTACTGACTTAACATGTGATTTTTTCGTTTTAGGGAATAATAAACTGGGCAACTGCTTGAATCTGGTTTAAAGTAGATCACACGGTATGAACACGTGTGAACTTTTAATTTTAAACCTATCAACAAATATTGATATGTAAAGATTGCATATTATTTTTAATGTTCATCACAAGTTAATAAATGTGATGAGGTGTGAACACGTTGCTGAAATGTCATAATCGAGATTTATTAAAAAGGTCACCCATTAACTAAAATTCAGCTGTTTTTTCTCAAGTCTAATGTCAAAAATTTGAAGTTTGTTTGCGTTTTCATAATGGAAGTTAATTCAGAATAACGAATTTTGACAGCAAACTTGAGAATCGGCTGATATCCAGCTGGTCTCCCTGGATGGCCTGATTAATAGGCCTTGGCCATAATTATTATCATAAAAGTTGTGGCATAACTTAGTATGCCAATAAAAAGGTAGTGTACTGATTTAACATGTGGTCAGGTACTTTAATGGAAGATTTTGACATGCTGACACAACATGTGACTAGTAGGTTTAGGGGGCACGTAACCGCCGATAAATTGCAATAATAATTAATATCACAGTGCATGGGCATGTGTGAGTGTTTAAAGCTTACATATGTCAAATTGTATTTTTGTACAAAACTAAGTCGTTTAAAATTGAAATATCAAATTTACGTTTTAAACCACAGAAATTGACATGTGTAGCAGCAAGAATATTCATTTGTTTTGGATTTTTTTATGAATATTAGATGTGGTTGAATTTCTTATGAGAAATATTTCCATGTGTAAACATTGTTAAATATTTTAATGTACAGAATTTCTAATTCCCAATTTAATGTTGATGAAAACTTTTAAGATCAAATCTGTTATGATGTAAACACAGTCTTAGTGGAAATGCCTATTTTTTGTAATCAGGAAGATCAGCTGATTCTAAATCCTATTTTCAGAATTAGCTTTATTTTAAATCAATTATAATTCAAGAAGAAATGTTGTGTCATGCAATTTTCCTCATAAGATTATGTATAACAACACACCTTTGTTTAAAAGTCCATCCATCTGTCAAAATTTTCCTTATAATATTTCACAACGTTTTTAACATTTAATTAATCGTATGAAACATGGTCTTTAACAGTTAATCGAGACATCAGCTGTGCTAAATGGACTACCTATTTATTGTGACATGTAATTAATCGAGAAAAAAGTGGGCTTATATCATGATGCAATGATAAGGTGATGTATAAAAACAAAAACATTTGTTTTTGTCTCGACCATCTGTCAAATTTTTCCATACAATATTTCACATGGTTGGCAACATTGCACATCGAATTCAAATAGAAATTACGCACTTTGACAGTTAAACAAGTCATCAGCTGTGCTAAATGGACTATATATTTATTGTGGCATGGTAGAAATTACGCACTTTGACAGATAATCAAGTCATCAGCTGTGCTAAATGGACTACCTATTTATTGTGCCTTGTAATAAATCGAGAGAAGAGTAGGCTTATATCATGATGCAATAATAGGGTGATGTATCAAAACAAAAACATTTGTTTTTGTCTCGACCATCTGTCAAATTTTTCCATACAATATTTCACATAGTTGGCAACATTGCACATCGAGTTCAAATAGAAATTACTCACATTGACAGTTAATCAAGTCATCAGTTGCGCTAAATGGACTACCTATTCAGTGTCACATGGCTTATATGATAATTAAAGAACCCAGGCGACATGTCAAGCGATTAAATATTTTCTGCACTCCTTACTAATTTTCATTATTTTTAAACATTGTTCTGCCCTCGTTATTTTTTTCATTTCTTGATATTTCAAATTTGTTTTCCAATCTCTGTTTTTATTTGCCATAATAATCATTGTATGCAGTAAAGTTAATTTTTATGGCAATTTTATTATCTGCCAGGCGATAAGAATTCTAAAACAATGATTTATACCGAACACATATGGTAGAGAGATCCGCAGAATATCCAGACCGTTTCGGCATGTTTGCAAAATTATAAAAATAAAATAAAAGCGGAATTTATTTGTTTATGATATTACTATAAAGTTTTGTATGTGTTTTCAAACAGATATTAAATTGTTTTTATTATTATTAGATAGATAAGAAAAAAAGCCGACAAGAAAATCTAAACATTGATGGGAAAATTTTGTAGATGATAATAAAAAAAGGAAACCTGAATGATCGGAATAAACATAAAATCTGGGAGAGGAATATTTTTAAAGGAAAAATTGGAACTGGTAAAAACTTTCCAATGTATTTAAAAATTCAATCGAAAAGAAATTCTATACATTTTATAGTACATTTACATTGTATTGAATTTATTTAAACCAGTGGGTTTTAATTGTCAATTTCGTTGTATATATGTCATATAAATCTTCATAAAGTATGTTAACCCGCTCAAAATTCTAATGTACATGCCGTTTAACTCGCTCAATAGTTCTAATTTATAAGTCGATTTCGATTTTTCTAAGTTCTGGCATGTTGAATTCAAGTAGAAACCATGAACTTTGACAGTTAATCGAATAGTCAGCTGTGCTTAAATGGAGTACCTATTTATTGAGCCATGGCGTAATGTAAACACGACTAAAATCGAATTACTAAGGGTTCACATGTTGTAATATTTGTTGTTTAATATGAGGTCATTTAAGTTTTTGTTCTTTTTTCACTGCAATAATTTTGCAATATGTTTATTTTTCTTGCCTACGCTCAGTCCACACGAGAAGAATTTTTAATAAGTTTCTTTGTGTGGCTAAAAAGATATTTTTGCATTGATGGACTTATGGTCCGAAAAAAAATCAACTTCTCAAACTTTCACATGACCACCATATGTTGAAAGCCATTTCTCCCAACCTTATCAAATTCCGAAAAACAAAAATCTAAACAATTTAGTCATGAGTTCAAATTCTATTTCCAGTCTTTACCTTCATCGCCAAAGATTTATTATTTTGTGGAAAAACTATAGTTATCAAATATTTTTTTTTATATTTATTTGTGTCTGGGGGTATTAATGACAAAATTTATTTGTTTAGATACCACACACCGAACAAAAGAAATCAATACGCTACCATCCGACCGAACACCTAAATAATACATTATAAAGTCTTAAAAATCGATACTGTCACCAGCGCTTGGGTATTAATACATCAAAATGTCAGCAGGCCGGGATTTGTAAAAAAGGAAAATAACAAACAAATTTAATGTGAACTGTAAATAAAATTATGATAAGAATTTTATTTTTAAAAAATGCCACTGCAAAAAAAACGAAGAATGTTCAAATTGTGAATTATATTTATCACATTCATATGATTGTGTGTTCATAATTGATGACCTGCGGTCGTGTAATTTATTTTTTGTTATTGCTTATCAGCTGACTGGCTGTCT